CGTGGGGCCTGGCCGTTGGCTGGTGTATGCTGAGGGGCGGGGCCTGTTGGTTGGTTGGCTTATCCTGAGGGGTGTGGCCTGCTGTTGCTCACCTCAGGGGCGTGGTCTAGCCCCTGGCGCATCCTGAGGGGCGGAGCATGGCCTTTAGTGTTTCTCAGGCTTTGAGGGTCGCTTCTTCTTGAATAACTCACTCATAAGTTTATCGAAGGTTTTCAGAGCTGGGTATGGTGGTGCATGCCTGTAATCCCAGTATGTGGGACGCTAGGTAGTAGAATTGTTAGGACTTCGAGATCAATCAGCTATATAGTGAGTTCAAGGCCAGCATGGAGTACAAGGCAAGACCTTGTTTCAAATAAATTAATAACAAGGTTTTTAAATCTCTATCTACTCTAGGTTCACTATTTCTTTCATAAACGTCTTCGTTTCTTTAATTATCTCTGTCTTGGTTTTTTCAATAGATTTATTCATCCATTTTGTTCCTTCCACTGCTACCATTTAATAAAATTCAGCTGGGTGATGGGAATCTCACTGAGTTTCCCAGTCTGGCCTCAAACTTATGATCCCCCTGCCTCAGCCACCCAGAGTGCTGGGACTACAGGCTTGCACCACCACACCAGGGTGCCTGCTGTTTTTATTTGAAAATGTCTGTTGAAGCCTCAAGATGTAGAGGATTCCAAGAGGCTGGATTTGGAAGTTGGCTCCATGCGGGGAGGGATTTCTCAGTGAACAAGATCCACAGAACTCTTCCCACAGCCTGGCCCAGAACAGCCACTCAAGAGCTATTTGTTAAATGAATAATTGAAACAGCCTCCTAGTCCAGCTCCCCCTCTGAAGTCTCAGTTCCTGATAAGACATCCCAACCTCATGGCAGTCCAGCCTAAGGCTGCATCCTCACCTGTGAGGACATCACTACCTGGTAAAACCTCAGTCTCTCTCTCAGGATGGTTCCCCTGTTGTTACCCCGTCATTTCAACTTCTGGGCCCAGCTCTACCTGCTTCTAACTGAAGGCAGCAGAGCCCCTCAAAACCTCCTGGCCAGTGCAGGGAGGATATCCAAGAAGAACTTTTTTTTTTTTGTTTGTTTGTTTGTTTGTTTGTTTTTTGAGACAGGGCTTCACTCTGTAGTTCAGGCTGACTTGGAACTCATTAGATATCCCAGACTGGCCTCAAACTTGCAGTGATCCTCCTGCCTCAGCCTCCCAACGGCTGGGATCACAGGTGTGCGCTACCCTGCCCAGCTCTTCCACCTTTTCTTTTTGTATCGGCTGTGGCACCGCTAAGCTGAATCCCAAGCCTGTTCCACCCATTCTTGACTGGGTCTCTACAGGGTTCCTAGAAGTTTCGTGTTATCTTGTCCCATGTGCACCCAAAGCCTTCTGGAAGCTTCCAGCCCAGAGTGAAGGCTAAGGTGGTTTCCAGGCCTACAAAACCACTTTCCATTGTCACTGGCTTTCTCCATGCCAGGGTGGGACGTGTTGGCAGTCACAGTGACACACTGGCTGAAAATTTTTGTTTTTATTGTTCAAGAATTCTTTACAAAACCCACACACACACACACACACACACACACACACACACACACACACACACAAGATGCCTGGCATCAGCCCTCCCGGGCTTTGCTCAGGGGAAGCCACCCTGCAGGAACCTGGTGTCCCCTGCAGGGAGCAGGCAGGAGTGACCCAGAGGCAGGGTTGTCCCCTTCTCTCCTCTGAGATCCCTGAGTTGCCCAGCTCAGGTCCCCAACATCACGGTGGCTAAGGCCTCAGGTCCATCTGTCGGTTGAGCTTTCCCCACCCCCAAGAGGGGTTTCAAGTCCCCCAGAGGGCAGAAGCAGAGCAGGGACGGAGCTTGGCTCTTCCAGGCCTCCAGGAGGTGGGGATGTTGTGGGGAAGGCGCCAGCCAGGGCCTGGGCAGGAGGGGAGTGCCCGGAGGGCATGCCAGGACTATAATGGTCTGCCCAGTGTGCCCTCTGTCACTGCCCTCGTGGCCTGCTCGGGCACGCGGCTCGGGTCAGTCAGGATACTGGTGGATGCACTCAGCTGGCGAAGGGAGTTCAGGACAGCTGGGGAGACAGACAGAGCGGCACCTGCTGAGGTCAGGGCTGAAGTCCAAGTGATGGCGGAAACCCTGCTGGGCCAGACTGCCAGCCCTCCCGGGACGGCCACTGCTGTGGGGACAGGAGGGGCAGGGGCACTGGGGCCTGGGTGGGGCAGAAAGCCTGGCACCTCCGTGGACTGGGCAGGCAGGAGCTCACTTACTGGGCCTGAGCACGGGTAAGGAGCAGTACTGATCCAGCCAGGCCAGTGAGGTCTGGCGGAGGCTGTGCAAGCTCGCCGTGGACACCATCCCATTGAAGGACTCGAACAGAGGCCGGATGAGGATGCTGAACTGGGCCCAGGTCAAGGAGCAAGCCTGCGGTCCCGATGGTATCCACCACCTCAACCGGACCCTCCATTCCCCAACTCCACTGGGGGGGGCTGGGCCTTGAACTGCAAATTCCCCTGCCACACCCTCCCCCATCCTCCCACCCCATCTCTGGCTCTAGGTCCCCCTCCCTGCTTGCTCCCTAGCCTGCTAGGCTGTCCTCCACCACTGGGATCCCTAACCCAGCCCAGTCAAGAACCCAAGTCCTGTAGTCAGACGTGGTGGCGCACGCCTGTAATCCCAGCACTCGGGAGGCTGAGGCAGGAAGATCACTGTGAGTTCGAGACCAGCCAGGACTACATAGTGAGTTCCAGGTCAGTTTGAACTACATAGTGAGACC